GCGGTCTAACGCGCTGTTCCTGCACTGCTAGGAGACAGAGTTTTTGTGCTTTATCACGTGCTGTTCCTGCAACTGCTTCCATAGGTCGAGAGTTCAACAGCTATATTAGTTTAAGAGTTGTTGTAATTTGTGCTTTATAAATAAAATTAATTTCATCACAACATGTATTGGTAAAAATCCTCTAAAAACTAATGTCCAAATAACTGTATCTCACTTCCATTCTCCGTGTAGTGTAGGACAGCGTTGTAAGGGCATCTGCTGGCACTGCGGAAGTGAGTATCCTTGTAAAAGTGAATTTCTCTGTGCTTTCTATATTAATATTTCTTCACTTAGGGCAGTTATATTAGTTTAAGAGTTGTTGTAATTTGTGCTTTATAAATAAAATTAATTTCATCACAACATGTATTGGTAACAATCCTCTAAAAACTAATGTCCAAATAACTGTATCTCACTTCCATTCTCAATGACCGTGTAGTGTAGGGCAGCGTTGTGACAATTCCATCGGCATCGAAAGCAAGTTTTTAAACTTGCCTAGATTGCCGAGCAGTCTAACGTGCTGTTCCTGCACTGCTAGGAGACAGATTCCATAGGTCGAGAGTTCAACCCTGGGCTGGAGCTGAAGTGAGTGTCCTTGTAAAAGTGAATTTCTCTGTGCTTTCTATATTAATATTTCTTCACTTAGGGCAGCTATATTAGTTTAAGAGTTGTTGTAATTTGTGCTTTATAAATAAAATTCATTTCAAATTAGCATGTATTGGTAACAATCCTCTAAAAACTAATGTCCAAATAACTGTATCTCACTTCCACTCTCAATGACCGTGTAGTGTAGGGCAGCGTTGTAAGAATTCCATTGGCATCGAAAGCAAGTTTTTAAACTTGCCTAGATTGCCGAGCAGTCTAACGTGCTGTTCCTGCACTGCTAGGAGACAGATTCCATAGGTCGAGAGTTCAACCCTGGGCTGGGGCGGAAGTGAGTATCTTTGTAAAAGTGAATTTCTCTGTGCTTCCAATATTAATATTTCTTCGCTTAGGGCAGTTATATTAGTTTAAGAGTTGTTGTAATTTGTGCTTTATAAATAAAATTAATTTCATCACAACATGTATTGGTAACAATCCTCTAAAAACTAATGTCCAAATAACTGTATCTCACTTCCATTCTCAATGACCGTGTAGTGTAGGACAGCGTTGTAAGAATTCCATCGGCATCGAAAGCAAGTTTTTAAACTTGCCTAGATTGCCGAGCAGTCTAACGTGCTGTTCTTGCACTGCTAGGAGACAGATTCCATAGGTCGAGAGTTCAACTCCGGGCTGGGGCGGAAGTGAGTATCCTTGTAAAAGTGAATTTCTCTGTGCTTCCAATATTAATATTTCTTCACTTAGGGCAGTTATATTAGTTTAAGAGTTGTTGTAATTTGTGCTTTATAAATAAAATTAATTTCATCACAACATGTATTGGTAACAATCCTCTAAAAACTAATGTCCAAATAACTGTATCTCACTTCCATTCTCAATGACCGTGTAGTGTAGGACAGCGTTGTGAGAATTCCATCGGCATCGAAAGCAAGTTTTTAAACTTGCCTAGATAGCCAAGCGGTCTAACGCGCTGTTCCTGCACTGCTAGGAGACAGATTCCATAGGTCGAGAGTTCAACCCCGGGCTGGGACGGAAATGAGTATCCTTGTAAAAGTGAATTTCTCTGTGCTTTCTATATTAATATTTCTTCACTTAAGGTCAGCTATATTAGTTTAAGAGTTGTTGTAATTTGTGCTTTATAAATAAAATTAATTTCATCACAACATGTATTGGTAACAATCCTCTAAAAACTAATGTCCAAATAACTGTATCTCACTTCCATTCTCAATGACCGTGTAGTGTAGGACAGCGTTGTGAGAATTCCATCGGCATCGAAAGCAAGTTTTTAAACTTGCCTAGATAACCGAGCGGTCTAACGCGCTGTTCCTGCACTGCTAGGAGACAGATTCTATAGGTCGAGAGTTCAACCCCGGGCTGGGGCGAAAGTGAGTATCCTTGTAAAAGTGAATTTCTCTGTGCTTTCTATATTAATATTTCTTCACTTAGGGCAGTTATATTAGTTTAAGAGTTGTTGTAATTTGTGCTTTATAAATAAAATTAATTTCATCACAACATGTATTGGTAACAATCCTCTAAAAACTAATGTCCAAATAACTGTATCTCACTTCCATTCTCAATGACCGTGTAGTGTAGGACAGCGTTGTAAGAATTCCATTGGCATCGAAAGCAAGTTTTTAAACTTGCCTAGATTGCCGAGCAGTCTAACGTGCTGTTCCTGCACTGCTAGGAGACAGATTCCATAGGTCGAGAGTTCAACCCTGGTCTGGGGCGGAATTGAGTGTCCTTGTAAAAGTGAATTTCTCTGTGCTTTCTATATTAATATTTGTTCACTTAGGGCAGCTATATTAGTTTAAGAGTTGTTGTAATTTGTGCTTTATAAATAAAATTAATTTCATCACAACATGTATTGGTAACAATCCTCTAAAAACTAATGTCCAAATAACTGTATCTCACTTCCATTCTCAATGACCGTGTAGTGTAGGACAGCGTTGTAAGAATTCCATCGGCATCGAAAGCAAGTTTTTAAACTTGCCTAGATTGCCGAGCAGTCTAACGTGCTGTTCCTGCACTGCTAGGAGACAGATTCCATAGGTCGAGAGTTCAACTCCGGGCTGGGGCGGAAGTGAGTATCCTTGTAAAAGTGAATTTCTCTGTGCTTGTAAAAGTGAATATTAATATATTAATATTTCTTCACTTAGGGCAGTTATATTAGTTTAAGAGTTGTTGTAATTTGTGCTTTATAAATAAAATTAATTTCATCACAACATGTATTGGTAACAATCCTCTAAAAACTAATGTCCAAATAACTGTATCTCACTTCCATTCTCAATGACCGTGTAGTGTAGGACAGCGTTGTAAGAATTCCATCGGCATGGAAAGCAAGTTTTTAAACTTGCCTAGGCGGTCTAACGCGCTGTTCCTGCACTGCTAGGAGACAGATTCCATAGGTCGAGAGTTCAACCCCGGGCTGGGGTGGAAGTGAGTATCCTTGTAAAAGTGAATTTCTCTGTGCTTTCTATATTAATATTTCTTCACTTAGGGCAGTTATATTAGTTTAAGAGTTGTTGTAATTTGTGCTTTATAAATAAAATTAATTTCATCACAACATGTATTGGTAACAATCCTCTAAAAACTAATGTCCAAATAACTGTATCTCACTTCCATTCTCAATGACCGTGTAGTGTAGGACAGCGTTGTAAGAATTCCATTGGCATCGAAAGCAAGTTTTTAAACTTGCCTAGATAGCCGAGCAGTCTAACGTGCTGTTCCTGCACTGCTAGGAGACAGATTCCATAGGTGGAGAGTTCAACCCGGGCTATGAGTATCCTTGTAAAAGTGAATTTCTCTGTGCTTCCAATATTAATATTTCTTCACTTAGGGCAGGTATATTAGTTTAAGAGTTGTTGTAATTTGTGCTTTATCAATAAAATTAATTTCATCACAACATGTATTGGTAACAATCCTCTAAAAACTAATGTCCAAATAACTGTATCTCACTTCCATTCTCAATGACCGTGTAGTGTAGGACAGCGTTGTAAGAATTCCATCGGCATCGAAAGCAAGTTTTTAAACTTGCCTAGATGCCAGGTCTAACGCGCTGTTCCTGCACTGCTAGGAGACAGATTCCATAGGTCGAGAAATCTTAGGGTGTCCCCGGTTTGGCCAATATAATGCTCGCCGCATCCTGAACATGTCATGACATATATCAAATTTGAACTTTCGCAGGTAAAAGAAGAATGAATAACGAATTTTCTTCCGTTTTTAAAAATAAATTGTTCGGTTTCCTGTAAAAAGGGACAGGTTCCACATCTTGGATGATGACATTTTTTAACACCGGCTGTTTCCTCTGTATTGTTAAATTTGGCTCGTGTTAAAATCTTCTTTAAGGATGGGCTCTGTCTTTTACTTTTGATCAACTGAAATTCACTGAATACGTCTTTCATCCTTGGATCATTCTCTAAAATTGGCATGTTGGTTTTGATGACTTGGAAAAATTCTTGATTTTTTGGATTGTGTGTAGATACGTAGGGAATGAGATTTTTTACGGGTTTTTCTTGTATCTGAAGTAGGCTGTTTCTGTCATGTAGTTTGGCGTTGTCTATTCCTTTTTCAATTAGTAAGGTTGGATAATGCCTTTGTTTTAATAATTCCCGTAACTCATCAAGTCTGACATTTAAAATATCCTTGTCCGATATTATGGTACAGAGTCGCCTAGCTAAATTATATGGAATGTTGTTCTTGATGTGTTTTGGATGACAGGAATCGTAGAGAAGGTATTGTTTTGTGTCCGTGGCCTTGTAATATACGTCAGTTACGATTTTCCCTTCTTTTTTCATGACCATAACATCTAAAAATGGTAACTTGTTTTCGTCACTCTCCATTGTAAATTTTAAGTTGGGGTTCATGCTGTTTAAAATATCATAGAAACTTTGTAATTCATCGGTAGATTTGGTCCAGATTATAAAGCAATCATCCAAATATCGTTTCCAGGAGTTTCGAATAAAATGTTTGCACTCAACACCAAAATTTTCTTCCACGGTTTTGTATAATTTTTCCTCAAGGTATCCCAACGTAAGTGTGGCATATGTCGGGGCAACCTTGGTTCCCATAGCTGTTCCAAGTTTTTGTCTGTAGGTTGTTCCATCGAAGTTCATAAAGTTATTTTCCAATATGAATTTTAAACTTTCTAGAATAAACGTTTTTGAAAAACGAAGTTGAAGTAATTCTGGGAATTCATCAATCCAATGTTCAATTGCTTCTAGTCCTAGTTCATGTGGGATGTTGGAATATAAGCTGGTCACGTCAAATGATATGAGCGTTGAATCAGTTGGAATATTGTCAGGTAGTGATTTTAAAAAATCAATAGTATCCCTTATATAACTTTTTACCTTTGATACATATGGTTTCAAAAGTATGTCCAACAGGTTGCTGATTCTATGTGTTTCACAAGATGGCCCTGCTACTATCGGTCTTAGTTTTAAATCCTGTGGGTTTGGAGTGCATATATAAGTAGAATATGATTCCTTACACAATTTGCTTATAATTGCGCTTTTGTGAATTTTGGGTAGTCCATAAAAATTGCTTGTTTTTACTTCAAACGATAACAGGTAGTCGATTTCTTTTGCAGTTAAATCTTGTCCGTGAACGTGAAACCAAGGAAAAACATTTTATTTCATTGTTTTAACCAAAGCTAAACGCCCTGTCATAATAGACAATTTACAATTTTCCCGCATTATTTGTCTAACTGTTAACGTAATAACGTAACATAATGACATCACAATGAACTGTACTAAAGCGCAACACTTTTGACGTTACATGACGTCACAATATACTTTGAAATGTTTGTATCTATAGCAATATGTCAAACTCCTGATGATACAATTGAAACCGGTAGAGTTTTACTCAGCATTCTGTTATTTTTTACTATTTAAATACTTGTGTGGATTTTTTCTCATACTTTTGGATTATTTAACACTACACAAGATGCCGAAAGTGAAACAAAGGAAGAGTTGCGCAAATGAAGAAGAATTCATGCAGTTTACCAAGGAAAATCTGCAAAAGATTACGGAGAGACTTGATTTCATTACAGAGGAATTGCGGGAAATAAAACTTAAACTACAAGTAAGTGACAAAAATGAAGAGCTTGAAAAGTTAGAAAATGACACAGAAAATATACGGGAAATAATTCAAGAATTAAAGCCACAAACGGAGGCTGTACAACAAAACCCAACTGAATTATCATATGGAAATGATGTAGAAAATATTACTAGCATTGACCAAACAGAGTTTGAGGAATGTCAAATTAAGAGAAAGAACATCCAATTCTGGAACCGACACCTGAAACTTCGACGCATTGCATTTTGGAACATGATGAAAAATGCCGAAAAGGCCAAAATATACAATTCATGGCTTACATCGGGGCCAATGGTCATACCTAGAAAACTTCAGATACAAGAAATTAGAGGAGAACCAGAAAACCAAAGAATCCGCCGAGAACGGCTTGTATTAGAGAAGTATAAAGCAGAAATTGATCTACTACAAATGCGGGGGAAATACAATGAAGATAAATACAAATCAATTGATCATGAAATTTATCTGTATTTCAAAGATACTGTTCAACAAGACGTCCTGAAAAAGGTAATGAAATTATGGACTGATGAATGCTTGAAAGAAGAAAAAAACTCCATAGAAAGATGGATGAAATCAGAAAAATGGCTACTGACCTTTGAGAACAAATTCAAGGACGAATTCAATGGAAAAAATCCATTCTTCAAAACAAAATCCAGTGACTTTGGCACAGGAAACCAGTGGAGCGACAATACGATGACCATGAGTTCGGAAAACAACGTTAGAAAATACCATCATAAATTCAATCCAAACATTGCTCGGAACCAGAATTCAAACAATCTCAATGGACCCACATTCAACACACATAATGGATTCGGCAGCTATTACAAAAACAAAAGACCGAAAATTCCATACCATGAACGACCTTATAAGTATGTACATCAACAAGCAAAATTTCCCGTTGCAAAGAGTTCTTTTTTAGAATTCGGCCCCAATCAACACCGAATTACGTAGCAACCAAAGATCAAGAAACAAAGCTTCCAGTCGACCCCAAAGTTATAAATCTCTCAAATAAAAAACTTCCACTAAATGAAATTAAAATTCTTGAAAGGGGACTTAAATTCACACCAACACCTCGCAGAGATAATACAGAGGAATTAACCAATGACATAGAAGCATTTTGTAGAAGATTAAGATTAGCGGAATTTTTCTTAGATGAGGAAAACAGTGATGAGTCTATTGTTTCAAATCCGAGTAAATTTAACCCACCCAAGGGAAGAAACTATAACCTGGATAAATTCATTGAACATGTTTCTAAATACCCCAAAGACAATGTTCAGAGAAAACAGTCTTCGAATAATTTAGGAAAATCAGACTGGACAGCCATTGAAAATTTAAAGAAGGATGAAAACATTATTATAAAAGAAGCTGACAAAGGTAGTGCAGTCGTCCTGATGAATAAGGATTATTATAAAAATTTATGCCTTTCGATACTTGAAGATGAAACATACTATGAAAAACAAACAGAGTATCGATCTAAAAATATAATGAAGAAATTAAGTGAAATCATTGCAGAGCATGGACAAGATTTAACTGCAAAAGAAATCGACTACCTGTTATCGTTTGAAGTAAAAACAAGCAATTTTTATGGACTACCCAAAATTCACAAAAGCGCAATTATAAGCAAATTGTGTAAGGAATCATATTCTACTTATATATGCACTCCAAACCCACAGGATTTAAAACTAAGACCGATAGTAGCAGGGCCATCTTGTGAAACACATAGAATCAGCAACCTGTTGGACATACTTTTGAAACCATATGTATCAAAGGTAAAAAGTTATATAAGGGATACTATTGATTTTTTAAAATCACTACCTGACAATATTCCAACTGATTCAACGCTCATATCATTTGACGTGACCAGCTTATATTCCAACATCCCACATGAACTAGGACTAGAAGCAATTGAACATTGGATTGATGAATTCCCAGAATTACTAAAACTTCGTTTTTCAAAAACGTTTATTCTAGAAAGTTTAAAATTCATATTGGAAAATAACTTTATGAACTTCGATGGAACAACCTACAGACAAAAACTTGGAACAGCTATGGGAACCAAGGTTGCCCCGACATATGCCACACTTACGTTGGGATACCTTGAGGAAAAATTATACAAAACCGTGGAAGAAAATTTTGGTGTTGAGTGCAAACATTTTATTCGAAACTCCTGGAAACGATATTTGGATGATTGCTTTATAATCTGGACCAAATCTACCGATGAATTACAAAGTTTCTATGATATTTTAAACAGCATGAACCCCAACTTAAAATTTACAATGGAGAGTGACGAAAACAAGTTACCATTTTTAGATGTTATGGTCATGAAAAAAGAAGGGAAAATCGTAACTGACGTATATTACAAGGCCACGGACACAAAACAATACCTTCTCTACGATTCCTGTCATCCAAAACACATCAAGAACAACATTCCATATAATTTAGCTAGGCGACTCTGTACCATAATATCGGACAAGGATATTTTAAATGTCAGACTTGATGAGTTACGGGAATTATTAAAACAAAGGCATTATCCAACCTTACTAATTGAAAAAGGAATAGACAACGCCAAACTACGTGACAGAAACAGCCTACTTCAGATACAAGAAAAACCCGTAAAAAATCTCATTCCCTACGTATCTACACACAATCCAAAAAATCAAGAATTTTTCCAAGTCATCAAAACCAACATGCCAATTTTAGAGAATGATCCAAGGATGAAAGACGTATTCAGTGAATTTCAGTTGATCAAAAGTAAAAGACAGAGCCCATCCTTAAAGAAGATTTTAACACGAGCCAAATTTAACAATACAGAGGAAACAGCCGGTGTTAAAAAATGTCATCATCCAAGATGTGGAACCTGTCCCTTTTTACAGGAAACCGAACAATTTATTTTTAAAAACGGAAGAAAATTCGTTATTCATTCTTCTTTTACCTGCGAAAGTTCAAATTTGATATATGTCATGACATGTTCAGGATGCGGCGAGCATTATATTGGCCAAACCGGGGACACCCTAAGACACCGCATGACCGTCCATCGTCAACAAATTCGTCAAACTGAATACCAGTGCACTGCCGTGAGCGGACATATTAAAACATGTGCTGAAAACATTTTTCCTAATTTTACAGTGTTTCCTATATACAAGTTCTATAACAAGACTTCCGAAAAGGAACGTGAAACCAAGGAAAAACATTTTATTTCATTGTTTAAACCAAAGCTAAACGCCCTGTCATAATAGACAATTTACAATTTTCCCGCATTATTTGTCTAACTGTTAACGTAATAACGTAACATAATGACGTCACAATGAACTGTACTAAAGCGCAACACTTTTGACGTTACATGACGTCACAATATACTTTGAAATGTTTGTATCTATAGCAATATGTCAAACTCCTGATGATACAATTGAAACCGGTAGAGTTTTAATCGGCGTTCTGTTATTTTTTACTATTTAAATACTTGTGTGGATTTTTTATCAAACTTTTGGATTATATATATATATATATATACACCTATTTACTGGCTATGAGGACAATAGCAAGTTTATCGTCCCCCAAGACAGCAAACTATTTCGCACTCGAGGGATATAGTTTGCTGTCGAGGGGGACGATAAACTTGCTATTGTTCGAATAGTTAGTATATAGGTGTTTTATTATACCGATGCTGACTTTACTTTTGTTACGTCTTAATATATACGTCACATTCCATATAAAATCAGAAGTTTTCCGAGATGAAAAGCGAGAGAAATCGAATGCTGCCGTTGAATAGTTTGAGGACTATTCATCATGGGCAAATAGCACAAAAACTATTTCACGGCAGAGACTGTTTAGAAAAAAATAGCATGTTTATTCGTCTTATTTTTATATAGAAAAAATAAACAGAGGTATAATTATGACGTCATAATAACGACGTTATCATGTCATGTTGCTATTGTTATTCAAAATCCACTGAAGAGCCGAAAGGCGAAAGCGCTTTGGAATAAAATGTGATCATCTTTTCCAAACTCTGGATTATATATATATATATATATATATATATATATATATATATATATATATATATATATATATATATATATATATATATATATATATATATATATATATATATATATATATATATATATATTTGAGTAAGGAGGAGAGATCGGCCTTACAATCATTAAAAAATCGGGATGACATTGTAATTAAGAAAGCAGACAAAGGCTCTACAGTTGTAGTAATGTATAAAGAGACTTACATGGCGGAGGCCCAAAGACAACTCTCAGACGAATGTTTCTATAAGAAACTGGACTCTGACCCTACAAAAGAATTCTCCACTGCCATTACCAAAACTCTTGACGATATGTTTGAGAAAAATGAGATTGGTATCAACGTCTATGAGACCTTAAATCCTATTGACTGTAGACCAGGACAATTCTATTTGCTTCCTAAAATACACAAAGAAGGCATGCCAGGTCGCCCCATAGTCAGGGCAATTGGACATCCCACGGAGAAAATTTCTGAATTCATTGATTTACATCTCCGTCCACACGTAGAAAGTTTGCCATCCTATCTTAAGGACACTACGGACTACATTAACAAGACGCCCTCTACTGGCCTCCCAGATCATACCCTTCTCGTGACTATGGACGTCACATCCTTGTACACCAATATTCCGCACGATGAGGGTATCGAGGCCTGTAGAGAAGTCTGGGATAGTAGATCCATACAAGTTCCTTCTACCGAGTCCCTTGCTAAGCTCCTAGAACATGTTCTCAACTTCATGTTTAATGGAGAACATTACCTGCAAGTTAATGGCACTGCTATGGGTACGAAAATGGCACCGTCTTATGCCAATGTCTTCATGGGCAGACTGGAACGCAACTTGTTACTTCAAGCACCATTTAGGCCTCATAGCTGGTTGCGTTTCATTGACGATATAGAGATGAAGTGGGTGGATTGTCGCGAGAACCTCGAGGCATTCATTACGTTTGCCAACAAGTTTCATCAGTCGAACAAATTTACAGTAGACGTATCTAATTCGAAAAACGTATTCCTAGATACGACATCTACCCTGATTGATGGTGAAATCGTATTCAGTCTCCACACCAAACCCACAGACTCCCACCTATATCTTATGCCCACTAGCTGTCATCCCCCACACACTTTTAAAGGAGTGCCTAAGGGTCTAGCCACCAGAATTCGACGCATCTGTTCGTCCCCTGCCTTATATCAGGAGCAAAGTGGTCTTCTTGAGTCCCACTTATGCAAAAGAGGCTACAGTGCCCGCACCGTACAAACAGCTATTGATGAGATGGCGGAACATGACAGGCAAAACCTATTACGCTACAAGGAAAAAGACAATAGCGACAGGGTCCCTCTGGTAACCACATATCATCCCGTCCTTAAGAACCTTAGCGGTATCCTTCAAAAGAACCTACCAATTCTCCATTCAAACAAACGAATGGCAGAGGTCTTTAAGGAACCCCCATTGACTGCATACAGACGCCCAAGGAATCTGAAGGACATGGTAGTAAGAACCAGACTGGACAACCCATTATCTAACGGGGGCTTTAAAACTTGCTCTGACAGGAGATATCTTCTCTGTAAGCACAGCAGTGACACAGACAGTTTTAACAGCCCTGTTACAGGCCGCAGCTACAAAATACTAGGGGATTTGTCCTGTCATACTGACAACTGCATTTATCTCATCAGTTGCAAAGTTTGCTCCAAACAGTATGTTGGTGAAACTGGAGATCTCCATAGGAGAGTCAATAACCACCGTTCGACCATTAGGACCAAAAAACTCAATGAACCCGTTGGGGAACATTTCAACCTTGAGGGTCACAAATGGGAGGACATGACAGTAGTGGTGATTGACCATAACCCAAGATGGACAGATGCTCAGAGGAAAAGCAAAGAAAAGTTCTGGATGCACAGATTGAAGTCATTCCGCCCAAATGGTATTAACAAATTGAATGACTTCACCAGAATGAACGTAAATTAGACCCAATTCCTGATCATACTAAACAAAATTATTCTCTCAATTTAGTGCAAACTCTACGGTTAATATGTGCCACCAATATATAGATATACACTTTTTTATGCACAATGTAAATTGTTTCCTAAAGCACTTATTTAATTTAAATTTTTCATGGCATTAGTTTTTAAATTTTATTTGTAAATTTTTTTTTTCTCTCCTACTTTTTGATTTAATTTTAGAGGTCCGTTTGCGCAGGGCCAGCGTATAATCATCATGTTTGATGGAACGCTGTATAGTGTAGATGTAGAACCAACTCTCGAACTCGAACAACCACATAACTATGTATTGCTTACGCCTTTTTTTCCCGATAATAAGTCCTTAAATATTTCAAAATTTATAATTGATCATAATTCATATGTTTAAATATCCCTACTATATGATTTTTCTTTCATTATTTTTTATTAAGTAAAGTTACGCCATTTTGAGAGAATGAAACAATGTACGATTTACTGATTGTCGTAATTAATTAGCATAATTAATTCGTTCAATTATGTAAATCGCACTTCACCCGAGTATATCCGATAGACCGGACGCATTTCATAGCGGTCCTGATTTCTTTCTTTATTAGTGTTATTAAAAATTTCCAATTCAACATGTAATTAAGTATGTAAATATCTAGTGTTTAGTAGTTTAGTAGTAGTGCTAGTTGTTTTTGTTTCTCTTTTTCCTTTGTTCTTATGACTTAATAACTTTTTTCTTTGTCCTGAGGAAGGGACAGGACGTCCCGAAAATTTGATAATTTTAATTGTTCGTGTTGTTGGTCATTTTTAGTGCTTATATATATATATATATATATATATATATATATATATATATATATATATATATATATATATATATATATATATATATATATATATATATATATATATATATAATTTAAGAAAAATCCAGTGTTTTGCTACAGTAAAATATATCCAATGAAAAAAAGTCAGAAATCACAAATCTCGAAAATCATTTTTACTGTTAGCGCTTTCTGCCTAATGGCTCTTCAGACAGTTAAAAGTTAAATATAAAATTGCTTAGTAACGTTCATAAGCACGACGTCAAGTATTGTCCATTGTGACGTCATAATAACGTTAAAAGGTAGCATTATAATTCACACCGATGCAATCACTGAAATAAACCAAAAAACAAGTAGAAAATAACTTTAGTTAAAACTGAAGTAATTATTTTCTGTTAAGTTTTGGGTTAAATAGTTTTATGAAGTAGTCCTCCTTTGCTACTCTGGATATTTCACAGTCATTGTGCATTTAGAAAATGAAAATAATTTAAATTTCCCTTTCCCACAGGTAGCAAAGTGTTCACTGCACGGCGTATTCCTTACGCTAGTGTCCCGAATTTGTTGTTTATGGACTCGCACTCGTGCGTTCAGTTTGCCGGTTTGTCCTATGTAGTTTTCATCACAGGTCGGACAGGTTATGCAGTAAATAACATTTTCTGATTAACAGGTCATGTTGGCGTTTGGTGTTATATTTTTACCACATTTTAAAGTTTTTTCGCTTCACTCCTCCAGATATTCACATGTTCCACAACGTGGGTCACGGCCCTTTTTGACGACTTTGGCATTGTTTGTTGCAAATCTTGCTCTGGTTAGGATTTTCTTCAGATTGGGTGCCTGTCTTCTGCTATTAATAATTTGAGACTCCTTGATAATGTCTTTTAGATTCTGAGATTGTTCTAAAATGGGAAAAAAATCTCCTGGCTGATCTTAAAATATTGTGGTTGCGTGGATTGTGCGTCACAACAAAAGGGGTGTTTTATCATCCGGAGGATCTTATCAATGCCGGAATTGAAAAAGCAAAAAACATTCCTACTTCTGTACTAAGAAACACTCGCCGCAAGGATGATAGTGAAAAAAGCGACATCCCTGTCGTCCCCTTTGTTTGTAGATAGTACTTGTCATAAAAAAAGAAATGATTATTTTGCAAAACTATTTAAAGTCCTTCGAGGATAAATTCTTTTGAAAATCTCGGCTGGATTACATCTGGGTGCTTGTCAATCCAAAAGGAGATGGCTTCTAGTCCTAAGTTGTGGGGAATATTTGTATATAAACTAGTAACATCAAAACTCACTAATTTCGTATTTTCTTCAACACTTTCTGGAATATGGTTGAGAAAATCCATGTCGTCCCGAATAAAACTGGGTACTAATTTGCAGAAAGGTTTTAGAATAATATCTAGCAAATTGCTAAGCCTCTGTGTTGGACAAGAAGGACCAGCTTCAATAGGGCGTAGTTTTAAGTCTGTTGGACGTGGCAATTTAATATAAGGTTCACTCATTTCCTGTATTCCGTTTTGGATTTGTTTAGAATTATGAATTTTCGGTAATCCGTAAAAGTTACTAGTTTTTACTTCAAAATTGAGAAGAAAATCTATCTCTTTTTTGGTTAAATTATCGGAAAATTTTGAAGTATATTTTTTCATTGTAAACATCGTCTTCTTGTCTTCATCCTTTGTCAGCCTCCTTTATGATAATAGTATCGTCACTAGTAATATTTTTCAGTGCTGTTCTCTCAATTTTTGAGATGTTATCTCGCACACGGATATCACTGTGATTGTTGTATGCAGATTTTTTCAGACAAATAATGTAATCGTCCAAGTGTTTGTCCCTGTTTTATTTTGGTTTAAAATTACTTTTGTTTCGAACTAAGGATTCGTCATTGTAATCCGAATTCTGAAAGAATTCCCGGAGTCTTAGCTTCCGACAAAATTCTTCTGTGTCTTTGATCACATCTACGTCGTCTTTTTTAGGCATAGGAGTAAATTTTAGACCCCTTTTGAGTAGTTCTATTTCATCCGAAGAAAAATCCCTTTGAGATAGATTTATAATTTTGGGGTCGACTTTAGATGTTTTCTCTACAGGTATTGGAAGACGAATTTTTTCATGCGGTGTTTGCGAAAATGGCCCTTCCCTAAAAAAGAATTACTCCTTTCATATTGCTGGTTTGTATTTCTGTTATTAGAAATGTTGTTGATCATTTTGTTTTGCTGTTTGTTGTTCCAAGGTTTTTTCCACTGGACGTTTTCCTTGTTGATATTTGTTTATAAACTAGTACAGTGAAAACTGTCTAATCCGACACCTGAATAATCCGAAACACTGTGAATTCCGACGATAAATTTCTTTCCCCTTTTACTATTTTCCATGTTTTAACACTGAGCGATCCGACATCCTGTCTATTCCGACACAAAATTTGTCTCCCAGTGCATGTCGGATTAGACAGGTTTCGCTGTAACATCAAAACTCACTAATTTCGTATTTTCTTCAACACTTTATTGTTTGTACATATTTGTAGTTCCTTGTAAAAGTTTATATCATCTAATTGTTCAAGGACCATATCTTTGTAGTGTTCTTGGTCCATAATAACAGTAGTTCCTCCTTTGTCAGCCTCCTTTATGATAATAGTATCGTCACTAGTAATATTTTTCAGTGCTGTTCTCTCAATTTTTGAGATGTTATCACACGGATATCACTGTGATTGTTGTACGCAGATTTTTTCAGACAATTAATGTAATCGTCCCTGACGGAGCATTTACCTAAAATAGGCTTTATTAGATTTTAAAGAGAAATGTCACAAACAAGCACGAAATATTCATCAATGACCATATGTACCTACCTACCCTTGCTAATATTTATGCTCCCTAACATGCAACAATACTACACTTGCGCATACACTAGCTGCAGATCTGTAGCTTTATGGTTTTATGTATTTGTCTTTGACCATAACTATTAATACATAAATCTATATAGCTACAAATCTGCAGCTAGCGCATGTACCAACAATAACACCATACACCGTCTTGCATATTAATTAATAGTTTAAAAATTTTGTAGTATAAATCACAGTTGATATTGTGCAGCATGATGCTTCTTTAACGTCACTCATTTGATTTCTTATATATAACTCTATGCCCATAACATCTCCCTGTCTACACTCGATCCAAAAGATCGCTGAAATTCTCAATTTTCAAAACACATCTGAAATAAAATTTTACAATTAAAGTATATCATTGAGGGACTCAACAAATCCAGTTTCCCAAGAGCAAAATCATTTTCCGGTGTAAAAAATGAAACATTTTTTTCTAGTGAGTGCATTTGAATTTGATACAGACACAGTGATCAAAACGTAGGTTTTGGTTGGATAGCATTATGAAAATTGTGGGTTTAAAAGTCAATCGGCGAACAAACGTTTAAAAAAGAGATCTTCTGTATCAAATATTGATTTAAATTTGATTATTTGCAAAAAGGCAGACCCAGTCCCTAGATATTTTCAAAACACAATTAAAAACGCATTTTTATAGAATAGCTTTTTAATAATCAGGTGCTCAACTTCAAGCAGCAAATCTCAAAAGATGTTCCTTTATTGAGTTTTATTAATGGCGTATTGTATTTTGTATGTAATTCTAGTATTTTAATGTTATAATTTCAAACACATATATGAGTATGTGTTAGTATTTTATATATGTTTTCATAGTTTTTATATTGTGTTTACTTGCATTTTATTGTACAGCGCTTTATAGTTAACAATTATATTTAGCGCTTTATAAATTCATATATTAGGTATTAGGTATTTCTAATTATTTACAGTGCTGTATCGAAAATGTGTGGATATTGTAACTGTTGAAGGCAGGTTAATACTCTAATTTATTTCCTTGCGTTTGCTTACGATGAATTTGTTGTTTGGTGTCTGGACATTATTGAACCTTAATTTCTCTCAATATTTTGTTTGTTTTTAAAGATACTGTCCGATTTTCTTAACACTTTTGTCCGATGATGTACCAAGGTATTATTGGATTTGTAATACACTGTAATTATTATCAAACTGCTTTAGGTAAATCTTAAAATTGCAAGAAAAAAGGCATAACGTCATAGCAATGTTTTAACATTACTAATAGAACAGTACTTGGCACATATTCCTTAGATGCACTTGTTGTTATTTTATTATGGGTTAAAATTCATAAAAGAATGTTATCAAGAATAATCTTGGCTGGAGTACCGACTTATCTAAATCAGACTGTGTATGACACATCTACAGGTATTATTCCATTGGCATTTAAAAAGAAACACAAAAGAAGTCGTTGCCTGTTTTATATCATCCTCGGGTTATACATGTATCTTGGGAAATATAAATTGTTTGTAATTAAGTTTAATATTCCATGTAACGCTTTTGCAACAAGAGAAGCAAATGTCATACATTATTAATTTTAGTTTATTTCTAAGATTGAAGATTTTTGGAGCTTACATGTTAATGATATTAAAAAACTAATCTCAGGTTAACAAATTAACCCTAAGATATAACTTATTATGCCCCCGTAAACGAAGTTTCGGGGGTATATAGTTTTTGTCGTGTCCGTCTGTCTGTCTGTCTCTCTGTCTGTCTATCTGTCTGTCTCTCTCTTTGTCTGTTTGTCCGCAAATACTTTAACCTTGCCCATAACTTTTGATTTAGTTGAGGAATGACTTTCTAAATTATTTATATGCCCCCGTAAACGAGGTTTCGGGGGTATATAGTTTTTGTCGTGTCCGTCTGTCTGTCTGTCTCTTTGTCTGTATGTCCGCAAAAACTTTAACCTTGCCCATAACTTTTGATTTAGTGGAGGTATGACTTTCATATTTCACATGTGTATTTCTTGACACAAGGCCTTTCTTTGCGTACCACCAAATTTGACCTTTTAACCTTGACCAGGGGGTGTGACCCACTTTTACATGAAAATTTTAACTTTTACTATTCATATCTTTTGAACAGTAGATACCAGGACATTTATACTTCACAATTTTATTTTAAGTTAAAAGACCTTTCATGGGATACCAACATCCTTGACCCTTTGACTTTGTAGATTTCCGTACTTGTGAAAAAACTTTAACCTTGGCCATAACTTTTGAACGGTATGGGATAGGGATAGGGCTTTCATACTTCATTTATGTAATTCTTGTGAGAAGTCCTTTCATTCGATACCAAGACCCCTTGACCTTGACCTTTGTGTTTGACTTAATTTAAAAAAGCAAACCTTGACCATAACCTATAAAGGGTTAGGGCTAGTGCTTTCATACTTTAATACTTTACATATTCATTCCTTGTGACAATACCTTTTATTTGATAACAAGAACTTTGACCCTTTGACCTTGGAGTTTGACCTACTTTTTAAAAAATTTTAACCTTGGTCATAACTTCTGAACGGTTAGGGCTAGGGCTTCCATACTCTACATAAGTATTCTATATGGCAAAACTTTTCATTGGATACCAATGAACTTGACCTTTTGACCTTGACCTTGGAGATTTTTGTACTTATTGAAAAAACTTTAACATTGGTCTACTTTTAAATTCCTTAATTGTTTTCCATTGAGAATACCCTACTTTTGGTACCAATAAATTCAATTTGCATTAAAGAAAAGTTTATCTTTGCTATGTTGCCATACGGGGGCATCAGTGTTTCACAACACATCTTGTCTTTTTAAATGTTATTGCTTAAGCTTTTAATTATCATTTGGCAAAGAAAAAATTCTCTTAATTCCTTGTGACAATACCTTTTTTGGGGGGTACCACAAATTTTGACCTCTTGATCTCTTGACCTTTGATTTTCACCTAGAGTTTGACCCACTTTAAAAAAAAATTAACCTTGGCAATTAACTTTTTAACAGGAAGTTCTAAGGATTTCTTCTTTCACATGTATATTCCTTGT